TTCATGAATAATGTCCACTATCCATCTTCATCGCTGTTATCTTTCAATAAGAGGGGTTAAATTTATCGATTGTTATTAATTGAGTAGACATTTTTTGAAAATTCTTACGTCTTTTGTGGCTATGCAAGCTTGATGCTTTATGATATTACGAGTGGATTAACCGTGATTATCACGCTAATGTACTAAACGTATTTCAAGCTTCAACTTGGAAATGTATCTACACTTGCGCCCTTACAATCTATTATACTACAGCGAGAATTGTTAAAGAGGCGTAGCAAGGGTACCACTCAAAGTTAAATGCTCACGAATCTACACATCGTTACGCTATGGAAGACACCTATAGATCAGTAATAGGTATTCAATGAAATGACACAGGACTAGCTGTGGGTGAGTTTTCAATGCAATAGTACTGTTACTCGAATACGAGTTATTGATATCTAAAATTACGTCATCCCTGAGCGTATTTGTAACGATATAACGCTTAATGTTTATAAATAAATGTAAAAAATTAAGTACTATTAATATTGTATCTGGGCTACACCATACCTCACATTTACCCATTAGCGTACTGTTAGAAGCAAACGCTGTATAATTACCCCATCAAAACAAGATAATTATATAGGAAACAAAATACTTGTAAGATAAGGATAACTACGATAGGTATAGAATAATCTGTTAAGAGTTCCGACGAGTTCTTGGATTTGTTGAAGATTTTTCTGACTAGATACTAGACAAACGGGGGGAAAATGCATAGGTACTTCCAAGAACGCATAGGGAAGTGATAGGCATAAAGCAGGAGGTGGACGAGATGTTGCAATAAGAAAGAGGAGTCATAGGGGCTGCTGTAAGGATAAATGGGAGAAAACTGTAACTGTTGTAGATGTTATTCAACGCCTATGCCGACGCTGGACAGTTCGAAATTCAGCGAATGTCAGACACAATACTCATTTTATTGGAAAGTTGTGGTGGAAGTCGTTGATTATTATGCGCTTCGCGTTGTCATATTCCATTACTGGCAGTGTCGTTTACAGGTCTGTAGCCTGTTAGTTCACCAAGTACAATTCACAATGCGGGCGGCGTCACTCTTCAGCCGCTGAATGTGACATCGATATCCGACGCTCGGCGTCCCAACGTGATACCAACTAACTTTCTATTCACCGTCCTACCCTCTGTCTCTAGATATCTGGCAAGTTATCATATGTTATCTTTTGTTTTCAAATCACCACAGGCGTCACGATAAGATCGTATCGTTTTACACTGAGGTTCCTATACACTTCCGGATCTCAATGACAAGAGAGAAACGCATATGAAATCTATCACGAGGACAGATATAATCCGGTAATTTAATAAGGCGTTAAAATTCGAAATAATAAATAATAATAGGAAGGAAAGGGAAAACATTAGATAGAGGGGGGGGGGATCTAAATGTCAGTGCGAAGCAAGGGCATAACTGAGAAGCGTGACTGGCGGCTAAATTTTAATGAATTCCTAGTGAATTTTTTCATTTCCATTAAGTGCCCTCCCACCAGAACCCACGAGCAGTGACGAGGTTCTTACCCCGAGGCACGTCCTGAGTTAAGAAAGTGGATGTTTTTCATTTGCTCCCTTTCAACGAATCGGACCGCCGACTACGACGACCGCGACGGGCATGACGACGCCGTCGCGACGTCTCTCAAGTGCCACGCGCTTTCGAAAAGGAGTAGATAATTAATATTGTCAGACGTTGAGGACATCGTGGAAGGACAGGGGGCATAGACGACATGCCCTGACGACGGATAAAAGAGACAAAGAGGGGTGTCGTCAACGCGAAAATGCGGATTAACCAAGTCGATAAGAAGAATTCCCTTGGTCGAAATATTATCCTACTACTGCGCCGAGTGATATTCTCCAAAGAAAGGTGCGACTCCTGTCTATCCTCTTCCTCTTGAGCACCCTCGCTCTTGAACTTCCTGGGCTCCCTTAGCGGCTCGAGTATTTCGAGAGGCAGCACTCACCCTCCGTCCATCTTTCCTTGGCTAATTGCACCCTCGACTCTTGCGGCTTTGATTTTTCCGGCTGCAGAGGAGGAGTTGATTCCGCGGTAAGTGAGGGAAATTCACTAATTCACAGAATAAACGAGAACCCTTGAGAATCTGCGGTAAGAACATGGCGGCCAAAGTAGATTTACCGTTAGCCGGAAGATCGGTAGCCTTGCAAATACGCCTCTCGAATTATAAAGAGAAGAATAATACCTTATACAGAAATAAGAATGCTATAGAGCGGTCGCGAGGAACATACATAGTGTCCCAACGAATTTCGAAGCATCTTGAGCTCGCGGCTCGATACTGCGAAGCTGAAGATCTTCTGTCTTGAATAACGGAATACTGTCACTTTTGCAGCATCCATGAAAACATACCGACTCTGAATATCGATAAACCAGACAAGCTATCTTTGTTCTCAGGGTGTTTGCATGTTTGCATGTTTGCTCAGGGATGTATACAAAATCTTACTTTACTAGAGCCGAGAAGTTCTCCTAGCTTGCGAGATCCAGTGATACGCTGTATAATATCCGGGTATATCCTAGCATATCCCAGAATATCTCCGAATACACGAGACTACACCGGCATTGTATAGGCAAATCTCGTTGAGATACTGCTACGTGCCTCGGCAGTACTTTTTACTAGCTTCATCCACTGAGAAGTTGGGTGTGCGTCGATACGCTCACCTGCTTGCGACTATACTCGTAGAGGGCCACGGCCGCTGCGCTTGCGCGAGGATTGACTTTTCTCCGATCTGATGATTAACTAAATTTATTAAAGAATTTCTCACTGACTATTTGCGCTCGTTCGGTCAAGTGTATCACTCAGTACATCTATACCCCATCACTGCCACGTGTATCCGATACCATGGCTAGAGCCAGAGTTATGGAATTAATGGGCCGTTCGAGCATATTTTGGTAACCCAGTTGTTACGGTGCATGCCGCAGCAAATAGCAAATAGCCTACGTGGTACCTGACCGCTGAAAATAAACGGGCCCGCCACGGCGACTAACTGACTAACGACACCGCGAACGAGTCCTAAACGACTGACGTGGCCCGATACGTCCGAGAATAGATCGCCAAGCAGTAGGTAGTCTACCTGAGAGCAGGCACTGTGAGGCATCGCGACGACGGTGGGCACAGGCGTCGTTAACTCGACAGATGACGGTGGACATATAAAGGGGGAGATGTGGACGCTCCGGTGTACCCAGCGTATTCACAGCATTCGGAAGCACGGGGCTTTTCGTTAGCACCGGTAAAAAGTGCGAAAGTCGTGGCCAAGGGAGATTCTACGAGGACAAAGTTAACGAACTCAGGGACGTTAATTAGTGCCGTGTCAAAGCCACCAAGTCTCTGCCATTTGAGAACAGGCTCTTGCGAGGCGCGCCATTACGCTTCGTTTCGCGGTGTTTCCCGTAAATGGCTTATCTTTCACACCCGTGCAACTTGTTTTTACGTTAAACGACGCTAGCGACGCGGCAGCGCTAACCACGCTCCTAGTAGTTGCAAACGAAGCCAGAGAATCTGGTGCTAATCCTAGAATCGATCTTGGAAATATTCCTCGCGGAACCATTTTGAAGATCTGAGCATAATTCGCAAAGCTATCTCGGGTCGCGTTTTCATCTCGTGGAAAAGCTCAAAGGGCCTAGAAATGGCGGAAAGTACGAGCCGACTTATAAATAGGAAAGATAATCCGGTAGTGCACCGGTTGCGCGCTCTTTCTCTCTTTCCCCGTGTCTTTCTTCCTCCGTATCTTCCACGCTGCTCTCTTACTCTCTCACTCTCTCACCCGTTCCAGCTCTCTGACTTTCTGACTCCAATGATTCTGTGGTAATATTAACATATGCAAATCTTCTGAAGCTCACGTAACCAGCCATCCGCCGTTCGCCAGCTCGCTAGTTTGCCCGTCCAACGAGCGGAAGCGGAAACGGCGAACGGCTGGATATTTAACTGGGATGATGGCACCTCGTTTTGGTTAAACTTTTCACAGAAGTTAAGCGCCTTTTGCAATTCGCCGTCCCGTTCGAGGCGCCACGCTGGCTGCAGGACAACTGCAATCGCTAATTCCATTCCACTTCTGGCAGGAGTCAGATACCCTGGACCCCCTTCCAATCCGCCTTCTCATCCAGTTCTCTGCCTTTCCCCGATGCTTTTGCTCTTTCCCCTCCTTCTTCAGCGGCAAGTATTAAATTGATGGCAGCGTGCTGTGTTCAAACCTGCCTCCTCATACGAGAAGGGCATAATTCACTGATAATGCAAAGACAATCTTATCTTGAGTAGGAGAAAAGTAGGGACATCACGAGTATCACGTAACCAACTTCCGGTATCGTGTACGCCAGTGGACCTAAAAAAATAGTTGGAAGCCCAAAGGGTAGTGACTCTCATTTCATTTACCACGGCTTGGCTGAAGCTAGTTAGCCAGGGTCAGTCAATATTCTTTCCTGAACGGGACGGGAATCACGAGCATGTTTGCTTTTCATCAACCGAGGCGCCTGCTTGCGTGGTTTCGAGGCTGAAAAGCTGTACATCAATTTAGTATACGAGGAGACTGAGAGAGACTGGCCCTACGACTTTTTGGCTCTTCAGTCCCTCACTCCGTTTACCCATTCAGCAATGCTGCTGGATCGTACATGTTCCGTAACTCCCACAGCCTCCCTCATCTCCATAAACTTTCCACAAGGTTGACTTTATCTCACAGTTCTTTATTCGTCTCTGAGTTAACTCGCTTCCCTTCCTTATATTCTCCCTTTAGTTTACTCTCAGTTATCCACCTTGGAAATGATATCGAGAAGCAGCCACGTGCTGCTGCGAAGTGGCGTACTTTGTGGGTGAGAGGGGAAGAAAAGGAAAATCGTTCGTGTTCCTGCATACTTGCATATCTGTTTATTTCTATATGCATAAATTCATTACCTTTTTATAATATATTTATTAATTATTAGATACAATTCTATCAATAAGAACGATGAATTTTTCTGCTTTCAGACGTAAACATGGTAGCTGAGCCTAAACCTCACCAGACGGGTCGCAAGCGGCAAAACGTGGCCAAGACCGGAAACGACTGGTAAGTCATTAGTTGATAAAACAATTCAGATGCAGATGTAGAACTGCGTATCTCGCTGGCGGCAAGTTCAAAAGTCTGCTCTCTCAAGAGAGTTAGGCAAGTAGAGAGTCTCGAGTGCACCTATCGGCATTCCAAAGGCGAGAGCATCCCAAGTAGTGCGTAAAGTGTAACCTCTCCTATAGAGAGACGTGAAGGATGAGAAAGAGGTGAAAGAGAAAAGAGAAAGGAGAGAGAAGTAAGACGCCACCAAGATCACGAAGTATAACTCGTAAACTCAAAACACGTTCTCGAAAAACAAGCTTTTCTCGACGATGCTCAAATCCAATGAGTAAGACCCCCTCCCCACCCTTTAGTTCGTGTGCTGCCTACTGACTGACTGACTGATTGACTATGATTGGATGAGTGTCTATGAATTATGACACCTTAAATAAATCCTTCTATGCAGATGACAAATAATTTTATTGCTAGAAAGTGACCGAAGATTCAGAGGAGAAAACAAACGCAAAGCGTCATAAAGCTATCGGATGAGCTTCAGCCAATTCCGACTCCCGATGTCGGTAATGTGTTTTATGCGAGCTACGTGACTATGAATCCTAAGCAAAATATATCGCGCAGCGTTCCTCTACAAACTCCGAGTGAGCTTTAGAGCTTTTTCAGGAAGCGAAGACCGTAAATCCCTTGCGACGTTCCGCACGACTGTTGGAAAATTAGTATCGAAGCTTTTTCCATGATATCGCCTCCATCGCGGTTTCTGTAGAGAATCTTATGCGCGAGAGCAAAAGAGCAAGATGAACTGAGAGTGGACACGTTCCAGACTGATTTCTCGTCCATATTCCAACGAGATATAAGCCAAACCGGACCGTCGTCTAAGATTCATTGCGTGTCAGGAATTAGGCATCTTAGTTGAAATTAGTGCGGTTATACCTTCAAGTTGGGGTAAGCAGAGAGCTCGTTACGCACAGGGTGTTGTACGATTTATACTGGCTTCCACCGACCTTACTCTCTCCCGCTCTCATCTACTCTGACGAATTGGAAGCCCTCGTTTATAATCTTCTCGACGTTTGGCCCGAGTTACTGTCGCTCGTTCTTGTGCCGCATCCTTCTAGGAAAGTAATTAAATCGCGGAGGAATAGTTAGAGAGGGACATAGGGAGAGAAGCTGCTAGACTAAAGATATAGCCAGTCCACGAGGTCAATGTATACTTTTGACAGTTCTCAACCATCGCAATCTAAGCAAAATCATGGGTGGGTTTTCATAAAATAACATAAAGATATGCTTAAATGGACAAAGAAAATATGTTTAATATAAAACTATGCATATGCATACTTCATAACAAATATTTCATGCAGTAACAAGTATGCCTTGCTAAAGACTTCATTCTTTTCGAACTATTTCAAAATTACTTTGAATTCGTCGGCTGACTATATAAATATGACTGATAAAAATAAATTCAATTCACTTGGATATTATGGCAGAATAATTACTAACCATGCAGATTTTATTAATTTAAGGGGTCAGTTATCCCACGATTATAAAATAATAAAATAACTATAAAATCTAATTGCCGATCAAAGGTAAAAATCTTTTAGAGATTAGTGTATGCAATATTCCAATCGTAGAGGTAGTAAAAATTACAAGATAAACTTAAATCGAAAAGAATGAACATGATACATGAGTAGGTAGGCCAGAGATGAAAAAATACGGACGGTTTTCGGCATTTCCGAATATCATGTTAGTTCTCAGTTACTCAGACTACATAAATAGGAGTACAGAGGGGCAATTCATGTGTACCCAAAGATAAGTATAAATGTCGCAGTTTCCTTCACATAGCTGTCGGGAAATATCAATGGAAACACACAAAATTCAGGAGCGGTTGACTGGTGCTCTGTAGTTACTTATCTGCAATTTGGCTTCAGTATGACTCTATAGAAGACATTATTCTTTCGACTATACATATAACGGTTAGAAGTATTGTAAAGCGAATCAATGTAAACGACAGTGTTATTATGAAAATCTATCGCAATAACTGTCCGATGATTTATTTCCACATTTAGTTGTTGTAACCAACATTGATATATTGTATGTTGAACTAAAAATCAGCATTTGAAGTCTTTCCTCAAACATGCTGCTTTCGAAGCACATTTTCAACAACCTCAGGTAAGGGTTGAAATTCATATAGTGAACCCGAAAATTTTGTCGAATCTCGTATTGACCTAAGTTCAAAGCTAAATATTTGTATAAAGAAAAAAAAGAAGGCAGTAAGTAACAAATATTTTATTATATTAGAGAGTCGAGTAATAAAATCTTACCTGTTAAGAACTACAGAGGAATGACCTTACTTAACACATATTATAAAATCTATGCAATAGTATAAAAGGAAAACCGCTCCTAGATACGCAGGCAGGATTCAGAAAAGGTAGAAGCACGATAGATAATACATTTATCCTGAACAACGTGATACAAAGAGAGTTGATTAGAAAAAGAGGAAAACTCTTTGTTTTCTTTGTAGGCGTGAAGGTAGTCTTCGACTTGATATGCGATCAGAAGCTGTGGAAAATCCTAGAAAACTAAGGAATTACTAAATAATTAAAAAGAAGGATAAAAGAAATATACATAAAAACAAGAAATGTAACAAAGTAAGAGGTATAGAATCGGTAGCACTCTAAAATATTCGCAGTCCGGAATATCTTCGAATTAAAATATTGAGAAATAAAAATATTTTGGAGCAAAAGAAATTGAACAATAGAATCGCACTGTAGAAACTAATTTTTATTTCAAAAAGTCGAAAAAATGAGAATCAAATGTTTTTACAATGATGTCGATGTCATGAGTAACATTATTAAAATATTGTACTTTATATATTTTATACAATAGAATATGCTGTGATGAGCCAGTATCCTATATTATTATTGATCATTATTATTGGTATTATTATTGGTCAGCAAGCGAGCAAATTTAACTCAAAATATACCAATGCTGCGATTGCTGTTTGATATCCTATAGAAATGAAGGGGCCCAAGTTGTAGGGACGAACTACCTGCTAAAGGGACTTAGGGCACGATCGAAAATAATTGAAGTTGGGGATACTTTTGGTGGGAATTTTTTAGTTGCAACTATCTGGATGGAGGTATTTTCGCTGTAATATTTTAATATGTAGGTGCGGCATCAAATAATTTTTGAACTAGAAGAGGAGTAAGGCAAGGATATCCACTCAGCCCGGCTAACTTTGTATTATTCTTATCAGACATCAAAGAAAACCTAATAAGAGAACAATTCCAGGGAGTAATAGTGGGAAAGGTCTGAACGCTCGCCTATGTTGATGACCTGGTAATATTAGCAAAGAAAGAGGAAGAGACGAAAGATATATTAAGGAGATTCGAAAAATACCTGGAGAAAAATATTTAATTCTGAATAGACAAAAATACAAAATAATATGTCTCCAAACAGAAGGAAGAGGATAGAAAAGAAAATGGATATGAGAAGGTATAGAGGAAATGAGAGAATTGAAATATCTGGTAAATACATTCAAAACAAATAGAAACGAAGAAGCACATATTATATAATTAAAAAACAAGCTAAGATCGTAGGGATAAGTTTATAGAATAGGGGAGAGAGTGTTTAAGAATAATTTTAAATGATGGATAATCCTCTTGGATTATTTAGTTAAGGGAATAATTATGTATGGACCTGAAGTGTAGGGATACAAAGAGCACACTGAACTCTAACAAAATACAGATAAAATACCTGAAACGGACACTAGGCTTAAACATATTTTTTACAATTATTTTTTTACTCGGGAGTATAAAAAATCGTACCACAAAAATAATGATATTACAATAATATCATGTTGTATACGCGTATAAATCCCTCGAAATGTGGTACCTGTCACCGCAATTAATTATACGCATTACTTTAATTGGTTTTTCCCATTGACAATATAACACAATTTGCAAAAGTGAAAAATGTATAAGATAAATTAATTGCCGGATACTGTTAACAAATTTGTGATCATTTTGCACGAAAAGTTCCACACAAAGTTTATTTCGCACAAATGTGCCCATTGGATCACTTTTGATAATGCCGGCTAGCAGCTATAGTGCAAGTGAACTCGTGTACGTTCGACTCACGTCGGGTTGCAACGACTTGCGTTGAGTCGGAACGGCTAGTTCATATTCAAACTGCAGCGGCAAATGCTGCGTGTTACTCCAAGGATCAAAAGCGTTGAATAGGGAAATATTTACAGATGAGCAATAATCTTTGCATCTTGTAAGAATATATATGACATTCAAAAACTATACATATATGCACATTACGAAAGTTATTCGAAAAATAACGACTGTTCACCATGTATACTAAACGCATATAAAGTTGGTACAGCCACTTCAGCACAATCGCTAAAAACAGGTGTAAAAATTTCATGCTCATTAATTAGTAATTAGTAGCTTTATTTAAACATATTTTTTAATAGTTTTTCTAGAAAAAGTCTAATCTTGGGGCATCTGGCATTAGAGTTTAACTTATCTTAACCTAACGTAATTATTACCAATCATATTGGAACTCCGAGTGCCCAACAGCGGAAGAATTTGGAAAATTCGGTGTGAGTTTCTCTTTACGAGACTATAAATATACATTAAATATGAATTTCGAAATTCTTCCACTACTGGACACGTGGAGTTGGAATGGGCTTTGAAAGGGTAATTGCAAGGTTGCTCAAAGTGAGGAGAGTGACACTCTACCCACTAAGTTCCCAAACCAATTTATAAATATTGGATCAGTTAGAAGTGATAATTAACACTATTTGTATATATGAAAGCCATAAGTTTTTCAGAATCCCTCTCAAAATATAATTCTTATATTGCATATAACCCTTAATCAATGTATTTCAGGCTAAATGTTACAAATATAATTTTGCGAAGTACCTATTTGCAAAAGCATTTATGAGCATTTATCAACAAATCTTGATTTTTCAATTATTCTTCCAAATGCTTAATTAATAGTAC